TGTAGTTCGTATGTGGGTGTCGTTCCAGTGAAAGACGTGTATTATCTGATTTAGAGCAAATTAAATTTATAAGCTCTGCCCGACCCATCTGTGACTTGTTGCTGTGGCTCATACACCTTTAAAACAGACAAGACTGGTGTTGTCTAAAGGTGGAGCAGAGCACATCTGTGAATGTTTAGTAATCCTCAACAGGGTTCATGTTTAGACTGTGGATGACCACATTTCAATAACTAAGCGCAATAATGTTTCTCAGTATGGCTGAGTTTATGGTATCTGTGAAGTACTCACACAAAAATTTACTTCAGAAGACCATGTCAGGTTTGTTTACAAAACTGTACAACGATAAACATGAAACATACATAAAATATGCTAAAATATACTATAATCTTTAAAATATGACATTTCTACACCTCTACCCTCGCTCATATCGGACAAATGTCCACTACACAAGAGCAACTACAGAAAGTGTTTCCTGAAGAACATGTTTTGCTGATGCACAGCTCCCCTGAACACACGTAGACAAAAAATGACAGCAGTATCCAAACCATTTTGATGATCTCAAAATGTCTGGTACTTGATTTTTAGTTGAAGTGGACATTAAAACTCACCAGTCAGTAAACAAGCAGTTAAAACACCTAACTACATTCCTGGATGCACATATAAAAACTAACAGCCAATGCTAAAGCTCTTTGTGCACACATCAGACATAACTGGAAGTAAACAATGCAAGCTGATTGCAAAAGCTACCACAACTCCAGCTGGTGTTACTTACAGTATTTCCACTATTAATCTCTCATTGGGCTTTGTTTGAATTTGTCTCATCATTTTAATCACATGCTGTGTTGTTAGATATAGCCACTTCGCTTTCTTTAAATAACTGTAGCAAACTGAATTATACAGTGACACTGTGCGTATGTAGGGAGATAATTAATGAGAAACTGGAGTACAGATATTAAACTAGGTAGCTGAGGTCATTTGGCATTTTTCTCTTTCTCCAACATTTTGTGTTGTAAACCTGACAACTGACATATTGAACATCTACATGAACAATACACAATTTTGTTAGTTTTGTGTGTCCCAGATGTGTCACATACAATCAAAATGCTGAATGTTGCACGATGACGCCAAGACCTTTTGTGAGAGACATGCAAAAGTGAAAAGTGGTGCTTGACACAAGTCAGCATTGTTCATGCTGGGTGGGTCATCTGGTAGTCCACAAAATGAGTTAGGTGCCCATCCCCCCCCCAGCTCTGTTTGCCACCCAGTCGGCCAGCCGACCCCCACCTGCTGCTGGAAGTCACAGTCCACTCTCAGTCCATTAAGTCCCCAAACAACTCAGCATGACTCTGAATCCATTTCATTAATTAAACCACACCCAGGCACAGTTTTCTCCCAACAGGCCTTTGAATGATCAGGAAGAAGACCCCACTTCCTACTGCCAGCACAGCATGTTTGAAGGAAACCCAACCTACAAACAGGAATACCTGCTTTATCCAGCTCACATCTGCCATGAGGCTTGTTACTGAACTTAGAGACCTGTCAGACTAGATGAGAGTTAACAGGTGAAGACTGTTTCTTTATCTACGTTTTTTAGACAAACGTGTTTGAAAAATGGAATGTGTTCAATCTGATGCTCACATTTTGAACTTTTGACGACCAACTGACAAAAAGAAAGGATTATTGTAATCTTTGTTTCCTTTTCCTACTGTTATGCATATTTTTTAATGCAAATTCTCTAATGTGTTATGTACTCAGCTGGTGTAACAGACTGAAGAGTTAAATCTAGTAAGCTGTACTATTTTTACATTGCAGAATGAACTGAAAGACCTGTTTGGGGTTTTTCTGTCATATGGAGGAGATCCCGATCCTGCAGCCTTCCTCAGAGAGATGAGATAACGCATTCCAGCTTAACTAGCTCCATACTGTGTCTTTGAAAAACTACGTCACTGAAATATGGGCTGCTTTTTCCATTTCTCCCTGACTTCACCCTGAGTTTATTCTGTCAGTTTGATGTAGATTGAGTATGATGACTATTTTGGCTCTCAAAATCTGCTGAAACGCCCGATAAAGAAGATGGTCAGAAACATGAATTACTTAAAAAAATTTAGCCAACAACTGTTTTCTCAGTTAATCAATTCATTGTTTAGTCCATAAAATGTCAGAAAATACTCGAAAACGCCCATAACAATCTGCATAAAGTCTAAGATGGTGTCATCAGACGGCTTGATTGTTCAACCAGCTGTCCACAACCTAAAGATAAGTGGTGAATCCTCACAACTGGAACTGAGGCATTTTTGGGATTTTTTGAATGATTGTTCAATTATCAAAAAATTATTTTCTGTCAATCATTAACCAACTAATCCTTTCAGCTCTAGCTGCAACTAACAATTACTTCCAATATCAATCAATCTGCCATTGATTATTTGGTCTATAAAATATCAGAAAAGTTTTTAAAAAGTCACAATTACTCATGATCACAATTTCAAAAAGTCCAACACAATGTCTTCAAATCCTGTATTTTGTCCAACCAACAGTCCAAAGCCCAAAGACATTAGGTTTTTAGGCTTCACATTATTGCTTGACAAATGACAAAATGACAAATTTTCAATAGATTTTAGTCTCTTCCTCATTGTTATTGCTCTAGTTTATAATGTATGCCTCTTTTCTAGCCCTGGCACCAGGAACATTTTGTACTTCTGCAAAAATATGTCTTTAAAATAGCTATAAAGTATATTTTTATATCAATATGTGGCACAAAGTGGCAATTTCACATGTGGGTCGCTCATAAAGATGAACTGACAGAATTATCACCTAAATCTGCAGCTATCCTTGACTATACAGAGAGTCAGCTCATTGCTTAGCTGTCCAGACTATAACTGTACAGTTTCGGTTTACTCTCGCTGCTCTGATGGCATAGTTCTTGGCTACAGCAGGCAGCTTTTTTCAATGACACAGCTCTAAAAAACCCACTGTCCATTACTTTCACATCAGCAAACAGCAAACGGACACAGTTAGAGACTAGCAGGTGAACATAGGGGAGCATTTAGCAGCTAAAGAGCTATATGTCACTCAGGAGTTTGTAGACACCCAAAGCAGAGCTAACAAAAGTGTAAATAATGGACACAGATTCATCAGGTGGCCAGTGACACAACTGCATATGAATGAAAATGTTGCTCCATGACTACTGGATGTGAAAATGAGCAACTATTTACAAACAAGTTTGCCATATCAATTTGGCAATTTAGCCCCCAAATGCCTATAATGCTGCTTTCTTTCAGCATCTCAACCAGTTTGAAGCTTCCCCTTTCTCTGCTGCGACTTCTAACATTTTACCACAGACTAAGACTTCCATACAAGGGATAGAGGGACAATGTTTGAACCATGATCACATAGCCTCAAATATATCCCACTCCCACATGCTTCGCCCGGCCATCCCCGGATGAGCCGTCACCCATGACTCATATCTGATATGTTGGAGTAAGGCCCTGGTGTTGAGTAATGCTATATGACCCTTGAAACTGTCCCAGACACTCCTAGCTCCCAGACAAGCACCGGTCACTGTGTTTAAACATCACAGCAATGTAACCAAGGGAAGTGACTCAGTGATCTACAGGGAGCCTGCTCTGCTCTACAAACATGTCTTCCCCTCATGTCTATAACTACCAGGCCTGGTGTATATTGTGTGCACAAGATCAAAAACATATGTGTTTTCACACCTCGATAAAGCACTGTTGCTATGTCATTACGATGCCATCTTTAAGTCCTTCCAGGCCAGTAATTAACCCAAGACATTTTATTCCCATGTCACTAAATAAGGTCTTGCAGCAAGAAGTTGGGCAACATAGATTACTAGTTTAACTCAGTCCAAAAAAAAATCAAGCCTCTGCTTGAGATTCACAGGGGAGGAAAAAAAACACCCCCTCAGGCAACAGTGCCTTTACAGGAAGTGAATAAGGCAGGCAAGACCAATCTTGTCCAACTACTGCACAGTCAAAAGTCCTGAATTAGAGCTGTTAACCGATCTGGCTTGCTTAAAGACTCTTGGTCTTACTGTATCTTTAGCCACAGTTTATACAGTCCATAATGTAGCAGGGTCCAGCTGTGGTTTGTTTCAGAGTATGCTTTCCAAGTTTCACTTCACCCAAATGTTTGTAACTTTGGTTTACAAAAAGGGATGTTGTTTGGTTTTCTTCTTTATTCATTTTTTCCCAGAGGTATATGACTTCTGAAGTAAGGGTTAGTCTGTCTGACCAACAGTCCAACACTCAAAGATATCATGTATGACAAAGACAAGCATCAAATCCTCACATCTGCAAAGCTGGAACCAGCAACTGTTTGGCACTTTTGATTTGAAAAAAACAACTAACATGATGATCCATTATCAAATAGTCGCTGATTGATTTTCTGTTAATCAACTAATCGTTGCATCTCTATAGAAATATGAAAATGATACAAAAGTGGACAACTAAACGCTGTCAGAGACTTCGGTTTTGTGAGCAAGATTAAAGAAATGTTTAAAGTTTTACACACTAAGTTAGATCTGTAAAGGTTTATGTGATACTTCTGACTTTAAAGTGAGACTAATATGATTAAAAATATTGTTAATAGTTATCCAGAACTTATAAATCATACTATCTTCACATGCTTTAATCACCTACACTGCCCTCTTTGGTCATATAAAGCGGCTCTCCTATGGCCTACTTTCTGTACAATAGCCAAATTAAGATTTATTGATAGGGCATAGTTGAGTTGCAGGTTGAAATATACCAACATTTCACATGACATACTGTTGAAAAACTGTACTGTATGAACTCTGAGGAAATGAATATAACTGTATTTTCGACCGCTAGCTAGTTATCGTTAATCCACACCCAAAGTTTGGCCCCGAAGACAAGCATTCCTTGCTTCTCCCCTTTTGTCGTTTACATTGTGTTTTCAGTCGTCTTAAACAGGCAGACCGACTAAATGTGACAATTGTAGGGTAAAACAACATTACTCACCTTGTTTTGACGTTTTAATGTAGTTTCCGATGATTTAGAGTAACATTTGCCCCCCCAAAAGTGTCCCCTTTTAAAGAAATAAAACGGTTACCGATGACGGAGACTAGCTAAAACGGTTGTGAGGGTCCGCTTTGTTCCGATCTGCCGAGTATGTAACCGATTAAAACACGGGTGGGAATAGCGTATTAAGAATGAACATTCATATGGGTTACGTTAAAATAAATAGATAAGGAGCGAGGAGTCCCGGGCTCACCAGAACACGTTAGATGCTTCTCCTGGTGGTGAGTCGTCCTTTTTTTTTAATGCCCCAGTTCAACAAACCTCTTTTCTTATTTAAACCCCGCCTATTCAGGAGGAGCCGCGGTTCGTCGAGGGGAAAGGAACGAACACACAGCGGAGGAGTGAACCCACCTTCACCTCAGATGTGGTAAAAAGTCGTACCTCAGATGATTAATACGCAAAAATATTCATTGAAAGAAAAACAAAACAAAATATATTCATATACACGAACTCTTCACCAATAAAAAGTGTGAAAAATACCGATATTTTAAACACTAACTAATATGTAAGCAGCCAACTGTGTTTAGTTTTTGACTGAAAGTAGCCTAAGGACATTTTCATTTAAGTACTGTATGTTTTACTGTAAGTTTTCAGGTACTTTACATTAACATTTTTTATTATAAAAGCTGTTAAGGAATATACAGCACTGACATTATAAGGGCCTTAAGGGACCAGTATACTCAGTTTTCAGTGGCATATGAACCAACTCGTGCAGTGGTGACTTTTCTCTGTAGTTCTCTTTTTTTCATTTGTGGCACAACTGTTTCTGTCACTTTTCATGTGAACTACCAAGTGCAACACTATGAGTTTCTTCCAGGAGAAACTGTCTGAAAAAACTGTGCTTGGGACTGTAGCCGTTTGGATCAGGAATAAACACTTTTGATTCACAACATGTCGCACAAAGCGCCACCAATTTGTGTATAATCAAGTTGCCATGCAGTAACATGTAGGCTATGTTATGTATGTTAACAAATACAGACTACCAGGCCCACACAAACCAGTTTATAAATCAAAATCTGCTTAAAAAATATTAGTGATAAATATTCCATTACAGTACAGAAGTATTATCAGCAACATGAACTCTAAGTAAGACTAAACAGGATATAAAGTAGTTAAAACTAGCTTCACCTCAACCAGCTGCAACATTACAATCATGTCAGATAAATGTAGTGGAGTGAAAAGTACAATATGCCCCACTGAAACATGCTGGAGCAGAAGTAAAGACCTGCATAAAAAGGTAAGACTCAAAGAACAAGTAACTCAAAATTATACTTAATTACAACACTTGAGTTCCAAGATATTTTCCACCAAACAATTTCAAGTGAACAACCACATGTTTTTCTCCTGTGTTTTTAGCTGTGCTCCAGTGAGTTGCCCATCACCTTCACTTCCTTTGCAAAGTGAGAGAGCAGTCTCTGGTACAAAGTTCAGTTTCAGTCATTTGCAGTTTCAGTTTTACCTGTTCCCTGTACTACAGTCTTGAACTGCAAAATCATTTGTCTGGGTTTGAAATAGTAGCTATAGTTGTGATTAAGTGCTGGCATGGAGGACTGGAGCAGACATAACACATTATACCTCCTACATGTGGTGCCAGTCATTGGATATACAGAACTAACCTTTTAAACCCCACTGACTTACAAGTGAGTCTGTCCCTGTGAACTCATGCTGTGCCGCCAAAATTTTTTTAAACCCTAACCTGAGTTTTATGTTAAACTCTAATTAAAATCCCAAAATACACATAGACACCACATATATTATATTTGCTTGAATATTTCACTCAGTGTAAATAAATATATAGTTTCAATGAAAAGACAAACAAGCTGATAGACGATGCTGCCAGACAATGTAGAATAAGATGATTTTAACAAACCTATAGTTACTTATGATTAAATAAGAGAGGAAAACTGGATTTTAAGCAGTTAAAAAAGTGGGATGAGGCTGTTTCATTAGCATTTAAATGTTTCAGACATATAATATAATTCTAAACATGTTAAATTAATTGTGCTGGTGTGATGTAAAGAAAAGAAATCAGAGGTTATGATGTAATTCCTCTTAAATTAAACATTATGACAATATACATCTGGCAAAGACAAACAGATAAGCAAAAACGTTCTTTAATCAAATATTATCTTATTCCAGTTTTGTGGAAAACCAATAGGAGAAGCATAAAGCTACAGAGAAATAATCAGTAAGGAACCTTTATACAGTCGGCCTAACATACATACATATGTTGAAAAAGACACTTCCCTCTTTTACAGTGAAACATTGAAGCAGCTCAGATCTGATTTCCACCTTCCCACATTGAGCCTCTACAATCACTGTATGATGTGTGATGGGAATGTAACAGCTGATGCTGTCAGCTGACCAAATGACACATGAAGTCACCATCTCCACTGCACATCTTTACATCACCGCACACTCATCCTGCCACATACCTCTGATAATCTGTCCAGGGAGAGTCGGCTGAGTGTTCGCTTTCAGCATCAGGTCCACACACACTGGTAACTGAAGAAACCCAAAACAACTACAGGCAGATTATAGTGTGACACTGTATGTAATTGCTACATAAAGGGTGACTGTACTGAAGCCACCTGCAACACAGATATGAGAAAAAAGAACATGAAACCAACAGATTATGAGAGGGTTGTACTGTGGCAGAAACTCGGGCAGGAAACCTCAGGTAAACCAGAAGCCACAAAACTGAAGTTCACATGACAGTAGACTTCACTGAGCTGAGGAAAGTTGTTCCACTTAATGTAGGTCACAAAACATGTGCCCTGTTTTATGAGGAAAGTGATGCAGGTAGTTTGTGACTCTGGCACCATTCTCCTGTTATAGATGGATGTTTTTTTTTTTTAGTGGCAATACTGTCACACTGTGGTCAAAGTATGATATGGCAACCAGGCAGACAGGAACAAAATGACCATATGATATGAATGTCAGTCTGATGTTTGTAGCCATGTCCCAATTCAGCATTTCGTAATTCTAAGATGGTGGTGTATGCAATTTTTTTTTTAAGTTATATTTGAGCTATCTGACAAACTGATCCTTTAAAACAAACCGTTCTCTCTGAGGTTGGACAGAAACAGCAGAGCAGCTTTTACTTAAAACATTTATTTGATCCAATTCTTTGGAATGTAATAGTCAATGATCAGAGTCTGAGACAACAGAGACGGATGAGTCTGGGTGCTGACCAGAAAGTCAAAGTACAAACAATACTTTTAGTCACTTAAGGCCTCACTGCTTTTCCATTTTTTTACTTTCTTATTTCCTTTCTTGTTTTTTTTTTTTATTCTGGATCTGAGACAGCAAAATTACAGAAGCAGTATTGAAAATAAAATTTTTTTTTGTCATCAAGGGGGGGGGGGGGGGGGGGGGGGGGAATAAAACAATGGCACGTACATCAGTGACGGTACAAAAAGACAAGGTGATATTATACCAAGTAAATAAAATTGTTACGTTTCAAAGAGACAATATAAGCTTTTTCGAGAATGAAAAACATCTCTGTAAATTGTACATTTCAGAATTATAACACTGTCATCTGAAACCGTGTTAAAAAGAAGCAACAATAACACTGTCCTCTTCTACCCCCTTTCTCTCTTTTCATAAATCAACATCATAAACACATAGATTTTTTTTTTTTAAATATATCAGTGCAACATTTGTTTTCACGTCTAGTGCTGCAGAATCCTTTCTTGTTTAAAAGGGAAGGAGCTTTATTAATATCTGGCTGACTCACTGGGAACACACACACATTCCCCGTCTGTAAAGTCAGACTGAAATTGCATTTTGATCACCCACAACCTTGTCTGGCAAAACACAGCGCAGTTGATCTTTTACTGAGAAAAGAAAAAACGATTGAAGCAGTGTGGTATTAAGAGCGAATAACGAGTGTCTCAACAGTCAGAGCACCTTCATTTGATGGGAAATGTTCGCTCAGGCGTTACTGAAACCAGACGAGGATTTCAAATGACCCGACTGAGGAGGGGGATTTCCTTTAGAAAAACTTAAAAATGTCTGATTTGAAAAAGGAAAGCACTGAGAATTGATTGTAAATTGATGCTGACGGACAGTCTCACTTCACATTTTGAGCCGTCATGATGCCACATACTGTAATGCTACATTAAAAATGGGCAGATGTAAGCTCCACAGTGCAGTGCAACACGAGACAAACGCTGTTCTCCCCGTTGCTAATAAATATATCAGTCCATCATAGCTGTGTAATGGCTTTTTTTTTTTTTTTTAAATCTTTACAAGTACAATCTGTGATGTAAATGACTGCAGAGTGAACAGAGTTGTTCATTGACACCAGTGAGGTGTGAGACTCAAGACTCAATCCTCCCACCTGAACGGTGCTATGAGCAAGCGACCAGCATCACAACACATTTAGCTGCAAAAGCTAAAACACAGCAAAGCAGTATTATTAGCACAAGGCTTATTGATTTGAGCTTTTAACCAATGTTTACTAAAAAATATACCCAGAATTGAGTTTAACCTGATTTTCATCCAGGATTTTTGTGCCCCTCACAGACTCAGAAGCTGTTGTAATTTCTGCAGTAAGAGGACACTGATCACAGTAGTTCACAGTGAGGAAACCCTTTTGAAAACTTGACAGTTAAGAAAATGGTGGATGTAGAGAGTGGTGAGTAAAATGTGGATTGAAGTTAAATAAGATTCAGATTATGAAACAGAATCCTACAAAAAAAAAAAAACATAGTGCTTTAACTGCAAGTGACATTTTTAAAATCCAATTTTCACATGTTTTAAACTGTCAAAAGAAACAAAAATTAATGAATTAGTTTACTGGGCATGTCTGTTGGGTAGTCTGGTAGTGAACTCATCATGGATGTAAAATGTGACTAGTTCTGTGTGTCATTTCCAACCACTGTAGCTGAAATAGGCTTATGAAGCATGATCACTGTTGGTGCAATGAGTCACCTGCTCACCTGGTGACTCATTAGTCACCTGTTAGGGTTGATAAACCTAATTCGATCTTTCCATCAAAGATCATTCATACATTTCTCCTCTGATAGTCGACACTGAAGATACACTGACAGAGAACAGCATTGTCATGGCAAACATTAAATCTTGATGAGTTTTCAGAAGCTTCCACATCCTGTCCGCTCAGCAGAAGATGCTGACGGACCCGAGGAGAGACACTTTCAGTCTTTCTTTCTGGTGTCTCTCAGGACTGCTGGACGCACTTTAGGTTCAAGGTTTAACAGTCATTTTGTGTGCCAGTGAGAATATTTCAGTCCTGATGATCCGTCTTCGACATGCTGTCAGCATCTTAGTGGTACTGAGGCTGTCTGTTTTACCCTGTGCACAAAGCGTCCCTTCCCATGAGGCATTTCTCAAGAATTCCAAATCTGTTTTCGTCATTGCAAAAACCCTCCTGTTCCCAGAACACAACAACAAAACTCACAAAATGACAACTAGATCACATTTGTGAAAGAAACACAAACAACAGGTTTGTGTCTCTGTCTGTTAAAATCAACATTTTTTGTACATTTTCAGAATTTTGAAGATTAGGTGGGAGTTTGATTCCAACACAGAAAGGATACTGCGGCACTTGTGTCTTTTTCTATATAAAAAAAAAGCGCTCAAATATATTAAAACCTATGTACAATATGTTGGATGTGTCATGTGCCATGAAAACGAGGCATTCAGGGCTCCTACACATTTTTCATTTTCCAAAATTCCAGAGCTTTTCTTAAGTTTTCCAAAACCTAAAAGTTAACTTGGGTTTTAACATTTTTAGTCTGTGTCAGTACGACCGTCATCAAGGCAAGAAAGATCTACAGGTCTACACCAACATGTGTTAGTTGACAGTACATGACAATGCTAAAAAAAAATGTGTAATTGTATGATCACAATGTTTTTCCGCGTGTTTGTGTAGGAACCCTGGACGGAACGCCAGCCGATGAGAAAACAACCAGCAGAAAACAAGGCAACGGAAAAACTGGAGGAAAAAAAAGGCACTGTTGGAACTAGACGCAGGTTCAACGGGCCTGGATGGTACCCGCTGCACACACACACACACACACACACACACACACACACACACAGAAGTATGCTTGCACTTCATGTATACAGATACAGTAAACATAAGTGTAATGCACACACACCTACAGCCAGACTGGATGACACATACACACCTTAAATGCAGATGTATATGAATGTGACACATGTATGTACGTACACACATACACATACACACACACACACACACACACACACACATACACACACACACACACACACACACACACAGGAACACATGGCTAGCTAAAGACCCAGATATCAGAATCGCAAATTTCACATACTCTGCTCGTTCTGTGAAACTATGACATCTGCAAAAAAAAAGACAACAATAACAAACAAAAAAAAAATCAAATCTTATCTTTCCATAAAAGTACACAAACGATACGTTCATCTGAATTGGTCTCAACACCAGCATGTGATTACATGAAATTAACAAAGCACGCCAAAAAACAAATAGAATCCTTAGTTTTCTTCTTTTTTTTTGCTGTACAGATTCTTTATACACAGTGCCCCCTACAGGTCAGTCCCTTCCACCGCCGCTCCTGAGAAATAAAATTACATCGGCTCACTTTCAGCCCACCCTGCCGTCCCATTGGTGGCTTCAGCCCCCATCCCGTGTTCCTCCCGCTTGATTGGCTGCATCATGTGTCCACGCGGAGCGGTCTCCGCTCCGTCTCCCGTTTCCTCCTCACGCCTCTGAATAGTTAGTCTGTCCGTTCATCTTGTCCTTCTTTAGCTTCACGCCGTCCACCAGCTCAAAGTTATAGTTTTCCAGGGCTGATAAGTTCCTGTCCGTCATGCTGCCCTGCGAGCAGGCGCAGTACAGGACGACGCCGCAGATGGCGCCCAGGAACACGCCCAGCGCAGACATGGCGATGATGGTGATGAGGATGGGGTCCAGGGTCTTCAGCATGTTGCCCGGGCCTCCGAGCTCACTGGTCTCCTGTGAGAGGGAGTCCATCGCTGCAAGACAGAGAGAAATATGGACACAAGTTATGTTCCATCCAAATGAAATTAGGCCTCTGACTGCAGGTTTAAAGGACCATGCTGGTGGTTTAACTTGATCTGGACCATAAACTACAAATGGCACATTCAGCTTCTCTCCAGGAGACAACATTCATGTTTGTCTTCTGGTTTTACTTTATCCCAATATAATGACCTGTGAATGTTTTTCTGGCAGTTGTCTGTCAGATTTTCTGTGAACACATCACCAAAGACCTGGTTTCAACACAGACCCTCCTCACAACCACTTCAGCATGGATCATGATGTTCACAGGAAAATAAATGAGTTAGAGTTAGGGGTTAGGGGTTAAACTGTGATGGCAAGTAATGAAGTACGTTAATTAAAGTACTGTACATGATGTACACACTAATGAATCTATAGATACAATTCAATAATATAAGTCATATTATTGTGGAATGGGCCATTTTGCATAATGTGCTTTTTAGTTTTGGGACTTTAAGGATAAGGATCTTGATGCTGAGAAAGCACTGATGATGAACTGACAATTTCAACAGTGTCATGTCTGTGTAAGGTCAAATCAGTAGTGAAACAAATGGAAATGGAAAGAACCAGCTGCCTGGAAGGTGGGAAATTAATGTAAACATTTCAAAATGTAAAAAAAATCTCATTGTATACTTTGGAGAAATTGCAAAATCTGATATAAAATATATATAGTTAATGTTTATAGCAAAAACATAGAAATCCACTGATGTGATCCTTTAAGATGTCAAAGAAATATTTGATGTGAGAGAGATTGTACAAAGACACACAGTGTAAACATTTTACTTTTCTGGAGAGGACAGACAAGACTTTTCAAGAAGAAAAGAAAACTGTAGAAGAGAAAACACAAGCGAGATCCCTTAACTCTTTTTATTTTGGTATCAATTCAAAGTTTTTCCTTGGAGTCAGAGATGTACTCACGTAGGATGAAGATCTCAGTCGGCGGAGACGTAGGAACTTCTGGATCTGGAGGAAAGAAAAGCAGACGCTATTAGTTTAAAGTCAGCGATGGTGTACAACCCAAAACTAAACTGAACAGAATAACATACAGTGGATTACGTAAGAGAAATCAAATCAAAAAGACTAATGTCAGAATTCACCTGCTGTTCTAACAGCAGCTGGACTGAGTGTGTTTTAAATAGTATAACACTAAAATCTTTGGTGTAAGTGAGATCTAACACTAATATACACACCCTTGCACTCCTCTGCACTGAGCCCATCCATGATCTGGATGTTGTCCACAGCTATGTGACCTGTACTGCGTCTGTCTGCAACACCTTCCACCACCACCTGCAAAAAAAAAACAAAACAAAAAAACCCCCCAAAGTCAGTCAGTCATCTGCATTCACCGAAACACAAGCTTTACATACACAGCTTAACATGTTAGATTTTTCAGCAAAATTAATCAACCAAACTTCATTTTTTAAGGCATATTTACATGTGCAAATATGCAACTTGTTAAAATCTCAGTAGAAATGACAACAAATCAGTAAATTACAAATTTATGTTGATTTCTTTTCAAGTTTTCTGGTGAAAAACCACTGTTTTACATGATTCATCAGTATAGTTATGCTCATTCTACTTGAAATGATCTTATTAAGGCTCTTTGTTACCATGGGGGAAAGAAAAGTAAATGAGATGAAGGTAAACTTGCATCACACATGGACTGATTTTTCATACATTTTCTGCACAAGCTAATCCAGTTCAGGGTCAATGAGACTGGGGCTCATCCCAGTGGCACAAAAAAAAAAAAAAAAAACACCCAAAAAGTGTATCACAGGAAAATTTTGAGTTTTTAGATTCCAGCTCCTCCCACCCTCCATGTTTGTGTGTTTTCACATATCCAGGACTCTGTATTACCTGATATGAGACACTTGAATGTGGCAGTAAAACTCGTCCCTCTCTCCAGCGGTTGCCCTGGCGACTGCTGACCATCCACAGCGTCTGGCCTTCCTCTGCCTCCTTCCTCTGGTTGATGTGAAGCGATCCCGTGTGTTCACCGAACATGTGATACCAGAAGGACATGCACAGGTCGGCGTCCGGCGCCGTGATGGGCAGGCTGGCCAACCTTGCCTTCTTTTCCTTGTTGTCCTCGCCTTCGCCCATTTTACTGGGCATCTCTGTGTCAGTCAGCTGCATGTAGATGAAGTTGCCTGGTCTGCCTGCAGGGGGCAGCATAAGATAAGGTAAGAACTGACTGTGTGTTGTGTTTTAAAAGGAAGCTTGTAATCACATTAATGCATATACTAACCCCTTTAGATTAATGTCGCTTTTATATGAACTAAGCCTTAATATAACCGATACCAAGCTCTAATGTGACAACCAGGTTCCCAAACTCTCAAGGTTTCATTATGGATTCATTTTATTTCATTAACTTGTTTGTGTAATGTAGAAATCTCTGCTGCTACAAATGTTTCACTCTTCTTCCATCTTTTCATAAAGATCAGTGCAATTGTTAAGTGTGACATTTCTGCAGTTCCCAAAGATGTCAAACTCAAGGACTGGACAAGGTTTTTCTACAACAAAGAACTCAACATCAGCGGCAGGCTTCAGGAAAAGATCTGACTTGACATCACAAAGAGCTCATTTTTTTATACTTGTAATCTGGTTGAGTCAAAAAATCAAGGTGAAATCATTCATTTTAGAGCTGCTGCTGTCTCCACAAGAAAAGAAATCCATCACAGGAGGTTTGAAAGGAGGGAAGGCCAGAGAGCTGAGGCATGTTGATGAATCTGAGTGCAATATTTCTTTTTTTAAGTCAAGTATTTCAAGGCCATCCATTCATTTTCAAAATGTTTTAAGAGCAGAGCATCTGCATGTTCTGTTCTCTTCTCGTCAGTGCTGAAGGTAAAACGTGTTTATACAAAGACTAGAATAGTTCTGTTTTATTTGCACTTCTTTACAATGCTGCTGATGTTTTGGTGTATTTCAGAGTCTTGATGTGTTAGTTCTTGTTTTGGATGGGTCATTTTTATCACGGGTTCTATGTTGTTCTCAGGGGTTGTTTTCAGGCGTCACTTAGGTTGTTTCTGCCATGAAATCTTCTGTGTGATTATAATAGACATGTTTTTTTTTTTTAACATCTTAGAAATATTTCTAAAATACAATCTTTTTTAACTTTTAAAGACACAGAGACCATTTTACTTGCTTTATCTCATCACGCCTGGATTACTGCAACAGTCTTTTTACATGTCTTACCCAAAAATCGATTGATCGTCTCCAGACTGTACAGAACTCTGCTGCCAGGCTTTTAACCAGAACCAAGAGACACGACTACATTACTCCTGTTTTAGCCTCTCTACACTGGCTCCCAGTATGTTTTACAATAGATTCTAAGATTTTATTGATTACTTTTAAAACTCTCCATGGCATCTCTCCTGGTTACATTTCGGACCTCTTAGTTCTGTGGAATGATCTGCCTGAGGAAACCAGGTTAGCAGAATCTGTGATCTCCTTTAAGTCCCTTCTTAAAAAGAGCTTTTATCTGAGAGCTTTTTTCAGTTTTACCCTCCCTTGAAGTGTTTTATTTCTCTTAAAATGACTCAGTACCGTTTTATGTTCTTGACTGTTTTAATTGTTCTATCTGTCCTCTTTGCTTTGAAATGTATTGATTGTATTGATTCTATTTTATTTTTGCTATTGTCTGTAACTATGTTTTTGCTGTATAAGTGCTCTATAAATAAAGATTGTTATTATCATTATTATTATTATTATTATTATTATTATTATTATTATTATTATTATTATTATCATTATTATATTGCAATAACAGTGTTTCTGTATAATTCTGATTTTATGGAATATCTTGTTGTATCTTACTTATGTTGTTTGTCTGTAACTCATTTTTACTGCTAGTTAACTTGAGAGATTTTTAATTTAAATGAGGATTTCCTAAGAAAAATAGAAAGGAAGTTATTGTTGTCCTTAACTCTCATTTGAAAGTTCATGCATACTTCCTATGAAAACATTTTTGTAAGGAAGGGACATATAATTATTGCCCAAGGATGTTTTTGATTATAATCTTGTCTTTGTCAAAAACAAAACAAGAAACAGACAAAAAAATAATCTGGGTCCATTTGCCTATAACTGGTAACTGTCCTAATCAGAATGAATGTCTCATTTCTTTGGTGTCTTTGACTGGGGAGGTCTTGTTTTCATCACTGTGCTCTGACCTCTAGAAATGTGTACATTTCTATTTGAAGTTTCAAGAAATGCAACTGATTCACTCCAGGCTCTACATTGACATCATGACATTATCTCAGTGATGGTTTTCCATGTTCACTGTCTCTGTCCTTCAGAGCAGGAATAAGGTTATGTGTCCAAGGGGGATTTCTTTCTACACAACATGCATCTTTTCCTTCATTTCTTTAAACAGAAAATAGGTATTGTTGTGAATTCCCAGCAGCACTGAGAGCGTAGAGTGTTATTTAAAGCTTTGTTAAAAATATTCCAACTTCTAACAAAAGAGGGTTAGACAGGCTTTTCAACAGCTGCATGCAGAGTGCTCTCCCCGAGCATCTGTCGAGTGGCACTGGTAAAAAAAACCAAAAAAAAACCCTCGAACACAAAGGTGAACACGCGTCTCGTACCTCTGTGGTCGTGGGTCGGCCCTCTGTGGATGGCAGGTGCCTCGATGGTCTGGATGAGCCACTCGGCCCCTGTACCGGTCTCTCTGGTCCAGCCGCAGAACGACAAGAACTCAAAGTTGCAGGCGAACCATACGTACGCTTCAGTAAAGAGAAAACAACTGTAGTTAGAAGCTGGAAACTACAAACTTTAACTGATAAATTGCCTGGATGTTTAATCTAATATTAGATTGGTTGTGAATTCTCTGTTGATTAATTCAGCTCTGGAGTTCTTCCATGTTTCCCAAAACATGGTACTGCTAATTGTGCTAAGCTCCCCGTTAGCCAGGATGAGGCCTAACCAATACGTGATGTGTCACCCGACTTCATAAGACGTCTAGAGGTTCGTGTTCCAGCCAAGATCCCACCACACTCTTCAACACAGCTAGAGCAGTGTCTCGATCCCACACCTGCTTCCCACCAACCAACACTGTCAAATATGTTTGATGCAGGTTGAAACAGAAGCACTGCTCCCTAAAAATGTCAATTTTTACATAAGAAAACGCGAGAAGCCTTGCCTTTCAGCCTGACCGTCATATACGTGCCGCGTGTTTCTCCTGGCTACACATAGGCAAACGTGCACAATGCTTCTTCAGAGATGTGTGCGTGGCATGGTAATTTCTTTTTTATACTTCCACATACATCTTGCTAGGCATTTACTTTTTTTCTTCTCTGTTTTCGAACCAGCCTCCCCACACGATTTGAATCGGCCAATCAGCTTGTTTGGCATTTCAGTAAGTTGCATTGTTGAGATTCAGTAGGTGTACATGTGCTCTCCTGTGAACAGTTCTACGCCCCCTCTCTCATTAAATAATCCATAATCTATATATATACAAATATTTTTCATTTCAAAAGTTTAACTGCTGGATACAAGATGTCTCCTACATCACTGAAAGCCAATGTATGTGCAATCCAGGCTTCAAGTTTCCACAACACACTTTTGTAAAGTTGTCCGTTGGACCAGGATTGGCTTCCAAACTAGTTCCACTTTCAGCAGATGAATGTGGAAACAGCCTTCTAGTCAAACTCGGAACACACACAGTGAACATCCAAGAGAAGTGACAACACATTCTTAAGTGGAGGGGGACTTTAGCTAATGTAATAACCTTACATTGTAGCTGTCACAGTAACACGCCTCTATCTGCTCCTTTAAAACCATCCAGAGAGACAAATCAAGTGTTTCCAGAAGCACTACCTGCTGGATAGTTCTTAAGAAGCTGTTATGTGGCAAACTGCATGACCTCTTCTTCGGTTATACAGTGACAAGTCAAGGCTAGAGACTGTGATGCTGAGCTGTTTTCACTGACTAATCCGCTTCAGTTAGGAGCGCGAGATGAGACAGCCTGAAAAAAGAACTGCAAGCCTTGTAGCATCAATATTACAAAGCTGTTCCTGCTGTATTGTACACTCAGTATAAATTGTGTAGCTTGTGGAAAACATATCGCACTAAACAAAGGGCTTGTGCAGATGGAATGGGGTGAGAGAGACATAGAGGAGATTGTGATTGTATATGTCGCTCGGCGCTACAGGGCATTTTCCTCCACAGCCACAGTGAAACACAGGAACTGAAACATCACCGCTGATGGAAAGCAGCGCCAACACGTACATATGTTTGGGATCAGGACATCAAGAGAGAGAGAGAAGGAGAAGGGCGTGGTGCCACCAACATGCGGATGTGGGCCCCGAAAAAAACCCCAAACAGAGAGAGAGAGAGAGAGAAAAAAAAAACTACATTTCCCTCCCTTCTTCTCTGCCTATGCCAGCAGTCGACTGGCGGCAGCGGTTCACCACAGCATCCAAATGAATGCAGAGATCTCTGAACACTGGACATGTTGTTACTGAGAGTCTAATAGGATGCAGAGATGACCGTGGAGCTGCATGGTAACACCCCCCCACCCCAACCCCAAGCTGTCTTCACGCGATGCTTCAGCTCAGCTAATTGAGACCCATGAGGCCTTTATTCTCTCTCTCCAGCTCTCACTATACCTCTATCCGTTCCTCCCTTTTCACCTTCACTCTCCCTCTACCTCTTCATCGCTCTCACCCTGTCTCTTTCTCTCCCTTCTCTATTCAGCCCTCTTGCTGGCTCTCCCTCTCCTTTCTTTCTTTGTCTCTCTCTGTCACTGCAACCATTTTTCTACCTTTTCTGCCTATTCATCCCTCTTCCTCTCACTCTGGCAGTTTACTCCAAATGTATTGAATTTGGTGTATTCACAGGGGATGGTAAACCGTGACATGATGCTAAGATGTCCATGCAGTGGGAAAAAAAACTACAGATGACCAAAACAAATCACTGCATTTGGATTTGAATGTTGCAGTGTGGAGGCAAGCCCACCTCAGGGTCTCACTATATGAGGTGTTTTCTTTTAAATGAATGGCTTTTGGAAATGTGTAATATTTTCCCACCATGTCTCTTAATTTTACCTCTGCTGCATTTGAAACCGATAAATATTTTCACATTCCAGCCTCTCGAATGAGATTTGTTGCTTTTCTTTGTCATATATAATTGTAAATTGAATATTTCGGGATTTTTTTGGACTTCTCAAGAAGAAGACATTTTCAGATTTCTATGATTTCGGCTACATTTCACTTGTAAAAGGATCTAGGATCTATTTAGAGAGGAAGTTAAAAGCTCATTCACGTCAGCTGCCGTGCAATCAGCATAAAGAGATGTGGCCTGATAAGGGAAAGCCCAACCTTGCGCTCCAGGGATGATACTGGATACTGTGTCTTCTATCGAGTGTCTGGTTTATCCAAAAAGTCGCTGGATTTGTCGCTAGATGTTTTTTGAAAAAAAGTCGCTACAGGGGTCTGACAAGTTTGTTAATGTAGTGACAAAGGTGCTAAGTTGGCAACACTGCTTGTTTGCACCAAATCATTTTGAAAGACACTTAGCCAGCTGCCAATGGTGCAACTTGATCACTCAGTCAGTCAGTCAGTCAGTGACAGACCTGATTATAGGGCTGGCCCTGTTGTTGCAGTTCAGCCACATTTTGCTGTTAATTTCAAGCAAGTGGAATGAACTTGCCATAAATAACCAGCTCCAAATGTTGTATTGCTTTTAACTACAAGAAGTAACGGATTTTTGTTAGTTTTTGTTTTTCTCTTCACATCTTTACTTTTTCTGTCTCTTTTTCTTGCCCTCTTAATGTTTACCCTTTCTCTGTCTCAGCATGTTTTTATCTCTCTCTCTCTTTTCTCACTTGTCTCCATCTGTCTCCCCCTGGTAAATCAATTCAAGTGGATTAACTTGACCAAAAAAATATGATTTAAAACAAACAATGTTAACAATACTGTAAATCTAACATGCCCTTCTCTTCTCTCTGCAGTCCAGTCGTGTCGGGGGCCGAGAAGTATTGGGGGGAGAGACTAATTTGTGAGCTGGGGTGATGAAAAATCCATTTACTCCCATGGAAGTCAGTTTCATTGCTCTTTGTGATTGCGTTCAGTACTGTTGCTGACACTGAACGATGGGACCACTGGCTGAATTAATGCACTGATCTGGCAGCCCTGCACTGGCACATTCATTTGTACATCTCCCTGTAAACTTTAAAGTACTACAAAGATAGAGAAAATGGAAAAGATAAAGACGGAAGAAGATGAAAAAGACAAAAGGTGCGTAGAGTAGATGAGGAGAGGAGGGGAATAAATTACAGGTGAGGTTTGTAAACACAGGAGCAGATGGCGGCGGACATCCTCACCTGGTATGTCTATGGTGGGGTCAGCCGCTGTGGTGCCTCCTGCTATCAACAGATGGGACAGTCAAAGTGAGGTCAAAGGTCAACAAGGCCGGTCCCACCCACACAGATGCCAACACACCCTCAACACACCTCAGTTCATAAAGAAAATCAATACCAAGCTTTCATGTTGCGTTGCACAGCAATTCAGAAAATATCAAATGTTTTAGAGAAAATCTTTCTATCTGCAGTCAAAGTTCTCAAACTTCAGAAAATCAGGATAATGGATTTGATTACATGTGAAAGCAAAGGGGAAGATCAAGCAGAATTTTTAAACATGGACGTGCTTGACAAAAATCACAGTCAAAACTTTAACAGCAAGAGGGAAGATAAGGGAGAATTTTTCATGGTCTAAGTCCAACAAGTTTTCAGTCAGAAGATACAGAGTAGACATGAAAGAGATGACTGGTACAGGATGAAAAAGAAGTAATACATGCAAGAGAGTTTTATTTCATATCACTTCTTAAAAAAGACTCGGCAAGTAGACATACATAAATTATTCCAATGCAAAAATTTGTTCGTTTTTTTTTACATCTATTTTCTCATTTTGCATTGTTACCTTGTATTCTTTTACCTTTCCACACGGAGGAGGAAGGGAACAAAGTAGAGGGAGTTCTGGTGGTTTACCTGTCGCTTGGTCGTAGTCGTCAGGCGCCTCAGTCTCGCCGCCACAGTCCTGTTGTCCTTCCTCGCAGTCAGTAGCCAGTGTTGTGCCCGGTACAGTGATCGGTGCTGTGGTGGTTGCACCAAACGTGGTCATGGGAAGTGTAGAGGCCATGGGCGTGGTGGGAGGGGCTGTAGTTGTAATGTCTGAGTAGGGAAATAGAAAAGACACAGTGTGTGAGTGAGACAAAAAAGGATGAAGTTGACGAGAGAGCTGGATAGAGAGATAAGAAATTAGAAACGTCGACAACGAAAGTGAAAAAAACAGAAGATCTTTACCAACATTAAAAGACCTAAAAGCTCAAAGCGTGGTTAACTCACACATTAAATCATTATAAACAATACAGGTTCAGTGGTTTGCAGTGTGAATGTAAAAGTGTGTGTCCGTAGGTAGGTTGTTGTATCAGCTCAGTCAGTGTACATCTATTCTGGTCTATACGTCATTGCATCTAGGAGGTTTATAGGACTGGGAAGAGACCAACAAGTCAGGAGCTGCCTTTCCACTGGAGGAACAAGGGTCTAAATTTAAAATGTACTTTCTGATTACCCAGGAACTACTGGAACAGAGTTTCCACTGACTGGTCACACGACACACAACAAAGAAAAAACATGTCCAGAAAAAAAAATACAAAAAAAAAAAAAAACATGGAGAAACAACAGTGTGAGGCTTCTTGTGTTGCAGACTTGGTGAGAGAATAATTGTAACAAACCTGTTGCTTTCTAATCTGCTATCAGTCTGATTGACCAAATCATTATGGTTCTTAATTTGTGGTATTTTCTGATTTACTTGACAGGGCTCTTTGAAAAGGAATTTGACAATAACAAGAAGCTGAGCTGATTATTGCTACTTTGGAGACAGGTCAAGGTGTTGTTGTAACCTTAAGAGGCAGCTGGATTTTTTTCGCAAGCTAGAATTCATGTTACCAGGGCCCGAGTTATTCGCTTGTGGCTATGGAGAAGCAACTGTTTTGGTATTTGTGCTTTTCGACCACAATAATCGACATGCTAACTAGCTTCCAAAGCTCCTCAGACTGCGGCTTGTTGTTGTGTTGTGTTTCCTCTTTGATGCTGTCCTGTTACGTCATATGATAGACAGATGGTTCATCCAATCACCTGCCAAATATTTATTTTTTTGAAAGCTCCTGCCCTTTTCCAAACTGTTTCCTACGAAGCCTTCCCAGATGGTTCAGTGTAACAAACCATCTGGCGTGTCAGGTTAGTGTTGCTGCTTGTTGCATGCAAAAAAAAAAGGAAAAAGGAAAAAAAAAAGATCTCTAACGCAGCTGTTGCTTTTTTATTACATTATCAATCTAACTAACAAACTGATTTACAGTTCATAAGTTGCTGAATATGGAAATGCACACAAGACTGCAAGAGGAACTTTTGATCCTAGGTTCCTGGGGGATTATGGTCTAAAAGGGCCAATATATCACACTTTCATGACATGTAAGTCTTCAAAGCAGGAAGTAATCCCTTAGAGATACTAAAGATCTGCTTACTGCAAGGACTCGGTTAAGATCTAACTGAAACGTGAAGAAGGTTGAGATACAGATCTAAGCAGCACTGAAAATAAAGATAAAGAGCAGACTGCGTGGTGGGCCCGAGCCTTCAGGTAATAGTCAGATCATGTATCACCCCAGCGGATGTACAAAGGCAAGAGGTTACATTTAACTAAATGTAAGAGGTATCTGTGCATTGTAATAACATTTCAAGTGTAATAAGACCTTTGGCTTTGACTTATTTATGTTAGAGAGTTGTGACTCATTGGAGGAAAGAGATCAGGTTGAATATAGAACTCTCTCATCAATAACCGCACAAAACTCAAGTGTCTCAATTTATCTGAAGATTGAAGTGGCTGAGAGCCGGCACTCGTTTTCCCATCAAGGACCAAAGTAATAATGATGGAAAAACCTCTTGTATCTTGTTAAAGTCAGTTGATGTCTGGTGATGTGTTTTTATGGAAATGAAGTAAACTGAACTCGAATTAGCATATGTAGGCTATGTAAAAATCACAGATGGTCTGCATGTAATTAAACGTGTTTGCAACGTTTTGAGTGGGATGGAGATTTGCTCTCACAACAGAGTGGTTTTAAGAGTAGAGTTGCTTCTGATTTGAGCAGCATCAAACAAATTGAAGACACACTGTAAGCTTGTTTGTTTCTCTTCTCTTGTTTTTGTAGCTTAAATTGGCATCCTGATGTTTTTGTTGAACCAGGTATCACGCTACTTGTAGGATTCGCCCCTCTAAGGGAAAAACACACAAAGAGTTGTTCGCTAAATCCAAATGACTGAATGAAAACCAAAGGGTGACAACAGCTTCTTGTTATTTCTGATTTTGCAAATAAAAAACACATTTCTGTTTACATTTCCACCACAACTTAAGACCCATAGGTTAATTAGACTGATAACAGATAAAATGACTTTACTGCTAAAGTGATCTTAAATCTAGCACCTTATATTAAAACGGCTTTTCATGTCAACTTGAGTACTTGCTAATTATTTAATAGCATCTAATCAGCTTATTTAACACTTGAGGTCAAAGCTTTATCATTATACACATTAATGATAAACTGATAAACAGCCTCAGTGAGTATCAAGGTGAAAGAAGGCTGTGATTTGGATAATTGGCCATAATTTCTGATGGGTATGAGTGTGTGCATCTGTATGTCTTCTCCAGTGTGCACATATGGTTTGTATGCATTTGAGTGTGCACATATGTGTGTGTAAGTACCCTAAGCAGACTGACTGAAGTGTCTCAGTCTGTGTCATGTCTCCTGTGACAGTGTGTGTGTGTGTGTGTGTGTGTGTGTGTCTTTGTTCTTTCCTTTTGAAGTGAAACTGTGTTCATCTGGGACAGACACAGATATGCAGCACTTTTTATTTTTACCCCTTTTTTCTTTTGCTCTCACTTCTTTCAATCCCCCCCACCTCCACACCCACGCGCACACACACACGCGCGCACAAACACACACACACACACACACACACACACACACACACACACACACACACACACACACACACACACACACACACACACACACACACAATGATAATCAGTGGGTCCTGACAGATATACACCCATGTAAGCCTTGTAGTCCCAACAGATTTACAGTAATACTACACAGTTACACACCTTCTATATCCTGGAAAAATAAACATTTTAAAACCAGTTTAAAATTGTCAAACCCTCTGGAAGCATCCCTGAATTCAGTTGCTTCTTTTTATACGTTTATTTCTTATTCCAGTTTGTCTGTTTAGTGGTATCAAGGAGTGTTTAAGGACTGTTTTTTCTGTTTTCCTTTTGGATATATAAAGGCTTTTAATTTTTGCATATGGACTGGTTTACTTTTATTGGACTTCAGAAGAAGAGCTGGATTGTATGTCTTATTTTTAATGTAATTTCCCTGCTTCTGTAAAGCACTTTTAATTGCCTTGTGTCTGAATGGTGCTATATAAATAAACTTGCCTTGACTAAATTAATTTCATACTTTGGACAAAAATGCGTGCAGGTGGTGCTGCTATTATTTCCATGCTGTACAGTACATCGGCCGCTAGTCTGCTGTCACAATCTCTGTCCTGCTTCTCGCCTCTCAACATACAAATATTTCACTTTGCATATTTCTATTTCTATTATACATAATAGAAATGCTATAAGCTACAGAGAGCTTCTGAGGTTTTCGGGGAGTTCATTTAACAGGGTAACAGGGTTAAGAGGCCAAGGACTTCCTCTGATCCCCTGTGTCTTGCTGGGTTGAAGTTAATCTCCGATCTCTGCTCCTTGTCTCTCCTGCCCTTATTTCTGCCCCCACCCCCCAACACACACACACACACACACACGCACACACGCACGCACGCACGCACGCACGCACGCACGCACGCACGCACGCACGCACGCACGCACACACGCACGCACGCACGCACACACACGCACACACACGCACACACACACACACTCGCACACTTACACACCCTGCAATCTTGCCTGCTTTGCCTGATTCTTATCTCTCTCCCTTCAGGGCAACCAGACACTCACACTCCGCCAGGCAGCCTCCCTCTTCCCTTCATCTGTTCCTCCCTCACCTAACTGTGGGAGGTGGAGCCCTCCCTCCCCTTTCCTTTTCTCTCTCTCTCTCTCTCTGACCACTGCAGCAGCAGAGATAGCAGCCTGCCATGGCATGCGTCAGCCTTTCATGTTGCTCGCTCTCCGCGCGCTCCCTCTCCCTCATTACACCAAACACTGCAGATAAGCAGGCTGAAGTGTAAGCAGTTCACCGTCTAATGACTGGATGACTGATTGAGGCCACGTGCGCATGAATGCCAATGCATCTTGAAAATGCTGCTTGCATGTTGAACATTTTCAGTTCACGCTAACAATTTTTTCCCGTTGTCCTAAAATGTTGGCATCGTAACCCACATCTCGTAGCACGCACTTGGAAGAAGTTAAGGTGGAGTGGCTGAGATCGTCCCAAACGTGTCAGCTTGAATAGAAAACGACCATATAGATCATTAGTCCCTCCCCTGAATTTGCTCAGATAAACTGAAATAATTTTCTGATGTGACAACGCTATGGTAAATGTTTGGTTAGGTTTAGGCCCAAGAACAAAGTACTTAAGTACTTAAGGTAAAGGTTAGAGGACCTGTGTTGTCATGGTTACTATAATAAACATGCGGTTGGGGTTACGGAACGATCACTGTAATGGTTAAAAGGAAAAATGTTGATTCTTAGTGGGAAATGGGAAACAAAAAGCAGTCTCTGTGTCGATCCATCCATCCACCACAACCTCCTCTTCCTCTTTCACATGTGGACTTTGTTGCTATAACAACCTCACCTGACCTCCCCCTTCCTGTCATAATTACAAAAGCCACTACACTACACTACTGAGTATAAACACGTTGTTTTGTGGACTTCTGCTGAAAAGACTGATGCTGCCTCACACGACCGCTGGAAGTCGCTCAACAATAAAACGTCACTATGGGGTCGTTTTTTTTATGGGAGTCAACAGTCTCCATTGTTAAGACGCATGTCAAATACCTCAAGTGTGTGTTATCCTTTACACCTTTCTGGCTTCCTGCTGTGTTTAAAACATTGTGTGTCACGAGGTAGCTTTTCTCCTGCTTTCATTACCTATTATCTATATGATGTTATCAAATGTGAATGGGGTTGTGTGGCTCTACCTAGTGTCATTTTAAGTCCAATTTATGCTTTCTGCATCCACATGGCTGCAAAGATCTGTATTTCATAACTTAGCCATGTCCACTGAGGTCTCCGTACACCTTCTGCATGTAGCCTAAAATTCATGACTAACTTGTCTGCACCAGTGTGAACATGTCCACCTATAGAGACATCTGATGTAGTATAAACAGAACTGTGTGCATGTCTGCTGCCCACTCTCTATTTTGGACAATATCTGGCCCTGAAGGCTCAATCCAAGCGAGAGACATTTATGCTTAAATGAGTATTGGCTTCTGAGTTGCTGCTTGACTTCCCAAAAAAACCTCACATGCAGCAGCAGTAACCACCTGCAGTCTCATTCTGCCTGAGTTACCTCGACTATGTATGGTGAAGCATCACTTGTTGTAATTCAGCTGCGTTTCTGTGTGTCACTGGTTACGGTTTGTGAAAGCTGAGCACTGTTCTCAACCAAGAACAACTCGGCCAAAGCCAGAAGCCACAGGAGTGCTCTGCTTTAATATCAGCCATGGCGTAATATCATGATATTAAAACGTAATAAGCTGAGACAAATTGCCTCAGGGGTGACAGTAACGTTCTCCAGACTAAGCTGATCCACTTTAAACTTGCTCTACTTGTTATTGTGTGTAATGTTGGCTTTAAAACTGTTCCTTTATGAAATGAATCTTAGCTGCTTTAAAGATGAATATCAATACTACTTTAATATTTTATTCATACTATATATTTATACTATTTATTTATTTCAAGGCAGTGCAGACACTAAAACGTGACTAACCGTCCAGCTCACAGCCCAGCAGCTCCAGTCGGAGGCCCAGGCCCTCGGTGGTGGCTCTCTCCGGGTAGATCCTGACAAAGCGGGTGAGTAGTGGTCCCATGGACCTCAGCTCTGGGGTGTCGTGGTTTTGGTTCCCAATGAATATCTGAGGGAAAAGACAGAAACAAATATGTCAGGGACTGAATTAATGTCTCTTGAGTTTAACCAGAGGTCACCAGACTGGGCCCATTAGAGAGCTCAGGATGAGTTATGATTCTCTTACAAAGGGTTTAGCATTGAGTTAAATCTATTAGTTGGGGAATTTAAAAATTCCCGACTAATAAAATTGCAAAACACACTGTCCTTTGTGTTAATTTTCCAGTGCCATACAAATGTAGTTTACAGAGGGACCTGCAAAGTCATCAAGGTACAGAGTTCAAAGGCTTTTCTAATGTACGTTACAATGACATGTGAGACCAGTTTAGCCAATTAAAAGAACAGGGGAACTAGGGAAATAATTCCTCTATCGCAGGAGAGATGTAATGTCACTTCAGTTTATATTTCATTGAAAACAAGGGATTCTGAGGTCCTGAATTTATTTCTTTTTTTTTTGGACCTCTGCTGAAATCTGCTTTCATTTTCTCAGGATAAATCAGATGGTGTCATACGGTAAATTATTAAGTGGTAAATCAAAGAATAGTGGAAAATATTGACTGCTCTTTCCCTGCTAAACTCTACAGTTATTATTTCATTGAACGTAAAGCCCATCCATTCGGTGCCTGTCATGCATAAAACAAACGATACTGTCTGGGTCTAAGTCTGGCTCTGATCAGGCACAGGTCACTTTGATAAGAAGCTGAAACTAAATGAAAGGAGGAAACAAAAGCAAAAGCCAGAAAATCAAAACCAGAGGTCATCCTTTCATATTTCCAACATGGAAGCAGCACAGATGAAAACGGTTACTGTCACACTGGGAGCCAAGTGGTGGGACGCCAAACACCAAACACGCTCCTGCCTGTCTGAACCGCTAAAGTTTCCTTAGGCCTGATTTATTAAAGGCTGCATTGTGGCGTTAGGGTCGGTGCTATGATGTGACTGTTTTTGGAAGGAAGAGAGAACTTTTCTTTCAGCTGCCAAGGTTTGAGCCTGAATCTGGGAATAAGAAATACACTGTCCATTAGTGCTAACTCTTAAGCACTCACTGGTCATTGTCCAACAACAGGTATGTGACATCTCAGTATGTGTGTGTTTAGTAAAAAAAAAAAAAAAAAAAGGATCATATGTTACTTTCTCTGTTTATATATTAAAAACTGACAAGGAGAGACACCTGTCTTACAGGCAAATGATATATGTTAATACAAAAATGAATGCAGCTTTTTTATTGCTACATTATTTATTGGTGCATGTGCACTGTACTCTACTGTACTATCTTGGGCATGGTGTTTGTTTTTCATGCTCCTTTGAACATGTTCAATTTACCAGATACATTATGTTACGTTGTTTTTTTAAATTCTATTTTAGTGTTGCTTTCTAACATCTGGCCAGAGGCAACGGATAAAATTTTGCCTTCCACAATAACTCTGACTCATTTACAGTTTGTAAATCTGTGTGTTCTGTTATCACTGAGCATTACTGTCTGTGACACAACAGTTAACAAGAGTGACTTTATGTACTGATGTTGACAGTCAGGTAAAGTAATATTAGTTCAAGTGTTGCTAACTAATGCTAATTCACAATTAAAAAACTTCATTTTTCCCAAGAATTTGTATACTATGCACATTTGGTAAAGCTTTATTTTAATGCTCTGCAATTTACAAATCATTTCCTAGTCATTTTCTGGAGAGAACTAAATACGTCATTAGGTACTAGGCCTATTAATAGAGAGAAATAGAGACACTGTTCAGTTGGTACAGTTCCAGTGAATTAATTGCTAATGTAACCCAGAGAGTCTTTCAGCCCCTGCACAGCAGATGAGCTGAACATGCAAAAATGTTAAATGTTTCTACAGGTAAACATACAGTCCAGCACATATGAACAATAATGTTTCCAATAAGAGTTGCACCAACTTTCATTTCATTTTAGGAAACTTCCTACAAATGCGCAAGGAAATTACACAACTGTGACACAAAGCGTGGTAACATTTTTCTGTACTTTCCAGCTAATTTCCTTTTAAATTATCTGGTATTTAACTGTAAATTACAACCATATTTTTTAAGAAAGACCAAGTCATTTTGGTACTAATTATAAGAGAAATAGAGTTCCAATAGAGCTTCATGAAACTATAAGTTTGGATTTCTAAAAGGTCGTCCTTTTTACTTCTTACTACTGCTACTTATTCACTACTACATTTTACTAACATACCGCTGGTCAGGTGTTTTATTAAACCCAGTGTCTCTCTCTCAGGATTTCAGAGTTTCTTCTAAGGTAAACTAACCAACTGGCCAGTCTCCTGCTGTACATATACACACTCATCTTTATGCATGAGCACATACAGTATGTACAGCGTGTGAGTGTGTGTGCGTATGACTGTGCCCATGCATATATAAATACATGCAGCGGCCAGGCCTCACTTAGCCTTCCTGCCTCGTCTTTTGATGAGGTTTTATAAAAAGACACAGGAAACAGAGCATAGAGTCTCTGCTCTGAGAGGAGAGACGGAGGAGCATCTACAGCTCCGTCTGCAGCAAATCAGCAGGAGTCTGGTGGCTAACCTCGTCCTCCGCCCTGCCATCTGGAACACATAGAGGAGGATGTCGCACCAATGGGGCCGGGCAAGGAGAGGAAGTCAGGTCTTTAAAGCAATGACATGAATTTCCTCTTGGGGATGAGAATCAAAGTCACTTAAATCACTAAGAAGAGTTACAAACCAAGAGCTAAACATATACTGTATATATATATATATATATATATATATATATATTAAATTCCAGTTTTCTAATGTCTTTCAAGTGGTCAACTGTGACACTTTGAATTTTGATGCCGGATCCATCTTTTGTACAAAGCTGTCATTGTTCTGCTCCGACACTTCCTGTCAATCAAACAGTGTTGTCTTCTCTGGAGTTTCTCTTGGTGATGTTGGAGTTTCTGTAGGTGGCGCTCTTTTCCTTCAGTCAGTCACTTCTCATGCTGCCAACCACACAAATCTTCTTCTGTTTATTCTGAACAAACCAGAACGGCTGAACTAACACATGATGCCGCCTGAGCCTAATAATAAATCTAATAAACATACTCATAACCAACTGAGAAAACGGCCTCACTACAAGGGCCATTTAGTGGCTTCTCTGGAGCTTTTGATCATGACAAACAATCTTCACCATCTGATGGTTTGTCAAGTTGTCATTGTGTGAGAAATCCTTACAGTGCTCAGAAAACATACAAAAAAAGTGGAGTGTTTAATATGAGTTATAAAGTACTACATATACATAGATATATTTTTTATAAATTGAAATAAATAATGGCCAAAATGACTTTAATTCAGTATATTCACATATTTTCTTCTGGCACACACCTTTTAGGATGCTACATTAATGCTAAACTTTGTTGATGAGGGAATCATAGAGGAATAACATTAGAAGGTTTTTAAGCTGTCAGCACGTTGATTACCATATTACAGCTGACTGTATCCTTGCAGCACCAGCACAGACGTTAACGACACCACATGAGAATTCTGGGAACTCTGATCTGTTGTCAAGAATCGCTGAAAAGTTTGAGTGAATGAGTGAAGGAGCAAATCAGTCGATAGATAAATATGTGAGGTGCTGCACATAGAGCACGGCCTCATTTGGGCTTCTTGGCCTCAGTAATATTGTCATTATTTGCACATCATGAGAATACTGTAACTTTACTTCATGCTTTTCATAAACTGTCCGTCTCTGTGTGTAACCTCATTTCTTTTCTCTCTTTCTCTAGTTCGTATTCATTTGCTGTACCCCAATATTATTTGCTCCAACGACAACAACCCTAATTCCCCTTGAGCTTTATTTTTCCTCATGTGAAGATTTTGTTGAGCACATCAGACAAACGTTCATTCAACAGACAGCACTGCTCGAGTTCACATGAATAGCAGCCTGTAATTTGGGTGCTAACCATTTCACTGCAGAAGCAGCACTGCGGCAAGTCCAGCGTCTGTCCGTTGGCTTTCTGGAATTATTACAGATTACAGCAATTTTCATGTCAACAACCTTTTATCTGGCTTTCTTGTAATTTACTTTCCGTTAATCTGTATTGGCGTGTATCACCGTACTGCCACTGAACGGGACAGATATATGAAAAAAATACAAAAAAGTAGAACCAGATCTACTTTAGTGGAGCAGTTCACATGAGACTTTTGAGAGACCTACAAGCTTTTCAGTTGCAATCTTTATGAATTTAGAAATAAATCTACACCTTAATATAAACTACATTACAGAGAGGTAGAACTGAATTTTGACAAGTACCTGTTGTGCAAATGAGCATTTTGAGTGCATGACTTTTACATGTTTTGCAAGAGAGTGTTTTTATAAGGGTCTGAATACTTCTTCCACCACTGATTGGCAGTTGATCTTAAAAGAGTCAACACTTGTCATCCAACCTGACTTTGAAGCCCTTCTCTCAGCCGGGGTTGGACGTGGGCCACATAAAACCCGGCTTAATAAAAATTTAACTGCCAAAAAGAGAGACGCGTCTCTTAGGGTTGAGGCATTAATTGACATTTTCACATTTAAACACCATTTAACGGATTCACTCATGTGTCAAAAAAAAAAAAGAGAGAAAAGAAGAGAGACAACGATCAGAGGAAACTCAGCTTTACGTCTGTAAATGTGACTCTGTGTAATTTTATCAGTAATATGTATGGAATTACAATACGGAGCAGCAACCTGTGGCAGCAGTAAAACGCGGCGCGTGTCTTCTGTTGGAAAGAGGTATAAGCAAACCAACCTTTGGCCTGGTGGTGTTGTCCTCCTTGACGATGGTCCACTCTTCTCCGTCCAGACTGTGGCCCACTTTAAACCTCTTCATGAAGACGTTCCTGTCGCGGTGTTTCCCTCCCTGGATCACCACACCGCTCACCATCTTCTCCTGGCCCAGATCCACCTGCCAGGGAGGACGAGAGCGAACAGTTAGTCAGCTGAAGGTAACAAACTGACTGATTACAAACTAACTGACAACCTATTTTGATATGGCTAAAGTTTTGTGTATCAGTGTATCTGATTCGTGCCTAAAAACAAACTTTATAATCTTGTATTAGACAGTGAAAAAACAAAAGGCATGAGGGATCAAGGTTACAGCAGTTTTATTGGAGTTAAATTTATGATTGAGGTCAAGGTCTTGCTCAAGAACATTCACTAACTGATGGATCACTAAACTCACCATCCCTGTTTTTAAAATATGACAGCCGAGTTGTGAACCCACCTGTAGCCATTCATTTCTGAAGGGCTGCTTGGTTTGCTGCCCGGTCCAGCCCGACCTCCCCGTCAACAAGCGGGCGTTCTCAGCCACCCAGCCCCGGTCGGCGTAAGACGAGGCGCTGATCTGAGCGTCTGAGATCTGACCTGACACCATCCCCAACATCCCCGAGCATGGGTAGTCTGTACAGAGAGGGAGGGAGGGAGAGAGGTAGAGAGAGGGGGAGAGAGGGGGAGAGGGAGAGAATGGAGTATAAGAAACTTTTGAGAGGCGTACAGTATGATAAAGAAGACAACTGTCATCCTTATCTAGTCACTGCTTTAGTCAGCGGTTTTAGTTGGTGCCCTCTGGGGTTTGCTGCAGTGTTTAAACTCAAGAGTCGAAACACTAAAGATTCATGTACTGTATCATCTCAGGGATGAGTTTGTCTAAAATGAACATGAAGATTTTTGTGTATATATGCAGTCTGTATGAAGAATGATTCCCTGATGGGGGGGGGGGTTCCTTATCCAGTTTGAGAGTGTAAGGGAGGAAGGTGTTGTATGCTAAAGGCCCCTTCTGCTTATATTACAGTTGTAGTTCACGTTTGTCGGCGTGTACGAACGTGGGCAGACGCTGGAATGTTTGTGTCCCATATGCAGATGTGAGCAGTATGATTTATGCTTCCTGCTAGTTGTACTTCTCCTTCTGCTACTACTCTTACTAATGCTCTGCTCACACCAATAATAGCAGTGTCAAAAAATGCTGCCTCCTTAGTGGGTGTTAAGAACAAAAACGGCCCAGTTTTTAAAAAGAAACAATGTGAAGGGCTGCGTTGGTGTTGCTTCAGGTACCGGTGAGACAATGAAATGTGATCCAGGAAGTGTGGGTTTGAAGTTTGAGAAACAGATCTAAGAATTTGGAGGTTTATCAGATGGCAGAACAGAAAAGTGGATTTTGCAACAACGTTATAACAGGCAGGACAAATGCAGAATCACAGCTTTCATATAAATTAATCAATGTCGTGCTTGCATGAATTTGACTGGCCAATAACACCCCCCCCCCAAAAAAAACAAAACAAAAAAAAAACCCTTTGATGGGAAGGAAGGGGAAAAACATTTATACATATCTTCTGTACCTGCAGAAAAAATGTGTTATTCTTGGTCTGACGTGTGGAAAGGTCAACAACCACTGCCACCATTACAACCAAATACAGTATACTACTACAATGGGGAATTTGTACATTTTGTTGTGTCCTGAGATTTGCACACAGGCACATTGGCAGAGGTCAAGAGGCAGCTTGTAGCAGAATCCTTACAACGTGTTGGAGTTTGAAGTCTTGTCTCATGGGTACTTGACACTGACTGAGTCGCCCGTTGAAGGAAATGCTGCATGTGACCTTCAGGCTATAACATACTCTGTTGAACAACCTGGGAAGTCTGCTCCCTCTAATGTTGTTGTTTCAGGAGGTCGAGTATTAGGAAATAAACTGGGATGATTAGTGGATAATTGAGAGACTTTAGCTTGTGTTTTTCTCGGAATAAACAAACTTAATGAAACTAAATTATTTGGAAGCAATGGTCTGGTCACTGTGAGCCAAGTTTAATCCATTATCCACAACAAGCTAGATCTAATATCCTGGCTGAAAAGGTCGTGGTCTCAGTGTGATATTTGAATTTGACAAATGCTCCCAGAGTTATGTCTGGAGCTCAACAACAGCAGCTACTGAGGATGTAAATTCCTCCACAATGTGAATTTACAGCTACTCTGTGCTCTTTATGGAAACCCCCAACAGCATTGTCTGAGTGTGTTCATGTGTTTCTGAGCTTATGAGTACCAAATGTCCTCCCAGGGATAGAGGAAATGGGTCAAATGTAAAAAAATTAGGTGCATTTTGTCATTTCTTTAAAATGCATGTTTTGGAATAGGAGTTTGGTTTAGGATTACATGTGGAATTTATATTAAATTTAGGTAAAAATAAGAATCAAGTTTAAAGTTACGGGTTTAGGAGTGAATAATAGTTCTGCTGCACGTGCAATAAAAGCACACCACACACACTTTCCCAGTTGTATCATTATATCTCTTGAATCACCTGTCTAGCACTCCACAGCCTGTTCTCCAATGAATAAGAGCCTAATATCTACTTTATGGAGCTCTCCTACCGAGAGTGGCTTGTAGCATATCAAGGACTGAGGTTTATATAATGTTAGAGGGTGAGTAATGAGGCAGCATGATTTTCCTCCGCTCCTCTGTAATGAATAACGCCGTCCTTCTGTGGGAGTTTTTGCGCTCGCCTTGGAAGCAGCGATTATTTTAAATCAACAGCGAGCAGCAGGAGGTTCTCATCCGGCAGCCAAAAAGATGTTAGCTTGATTCACGATGTGTAAAAGTGAGAAAATGTTATTAAAGGGAGAGTCCACAGTCTGGAGAGAACAGTCGACCAGCGCCAAAAGCAGGTAAAACTTGTCAAGAAGTTTTTTTTTTTTTTGGACTGTCACTTTTCCTTCAAACTTTTTGCATGAAGAGTTAACATTATTTTGTCTTAGAAAAGACATATTCCCAGGTTTAGGGAAGTGCGTTCATTCATATCAAAGAACATTTTTCTTCGTATTAACGCCTCCAATGTGTAAAAAAAAACAGATTCTGCCTTTGTGAAAGAATCATAGGTTTAGAAAAGTAGGTTTAGTGTTTGTAAAACCTCTCAGACTATTGAATAGAAGTTACAGGAAGGAATTATTGGCAGGATGCTTTGAATAGCACAGACAACAGATTGAAATAATATACATCTTTAATGGAAAATTTGTGTACTTTTACTGTATTTCTACAAAGTGAGAGAAAAGGTTTTGAACACAGTGAGTCAATATGTGTCATGTGTGTGTTTTGTGTGTAGATATGACATTTACAAAAGTGTACTGGTGGTTGTGTGTGTCTGTGGTGTTTACTAGCTGTTGTTTAATATATTAGAGAATAAACAAATAAACGAGTTTGGGTGTTAGCGAAACGCCTACACTGCATGTGTGTGTTAGATTAGATAAGATTTACATTACATTAAACTTTAATCATCCCTGTTGGGCCGGGAAAAAAGTAATTAAGAAGAAAATCCATGAAATTTCACATGAATGAAATATGCAAAAAAATATGGATTGCAGCACCAACAGGAAGTGCCGGAAGTCATTGTAAAACATAAATCAGTGCGTCAACAGTTGGAGCTGGGAGTGCAGTCTCCAGTCAGTATGTTTGAGTGTGTTTTCTGTGAGTGTTTGTAACGTCGTTACCTGATGTTCTGCAGCCGTAGACCTCGAAGCGCATGCAGATGCCTTGCTCCCAGGACATGGGGCGGATGCGGATGTAGCGGGCCAGAGTCTGTTTGGGAAGAAAGGCGCGAGCCTCGTCCATCGCGTTGTGGTTCCCCTGAAAGATCTGAAGACAAGACAACACAGATTAGTGCTTCTGTTACTTCCAGTACTGATGTTACCACTAATGCTACTGTTACTGCTACTGAAACTGGTACAACTGTTGATAACTGCTACTAGTACTACTGCTTTTACCATTGCTGCTACTGAAACTCCTATTACATATACATACTCCTACTACTACTGCAGCTACAGTGTCTTCTGCTTCTGCTACTGATGCCACTAATAAAGCTACTGAACCAACAATACTACAGGTATTACCATCACTACCCCTACTCTGTGGTACTGGGCTGCTTCTTCTACAACTACTACCATTACCACTACTACTACTCATTCTACTACAGCTGCTGCTGCTGCTGCTAAACTACTACTATTACTAGGCTTGGGCAGATATTCGATAACATTGAATACTGCAATATTTCCTGGCATTTTCCATAATATCGAATATATATGTATGTGTGTGTGTGTGCGCGCGCGTGTATATGTGTATATATTTGGACTGTATCAAGATATTACATTTTGGATATTGTCCAAGACTAACTGCTACTGCTATTGTAGTGACTTCTGCTGCTGCTGCCTTTCCTGACATGTTGTTTGATCCCGACCTGTGACTAAAGGCACTTGACTTCTCAGCCTCTCTTTAGTGCTCAAACAGAACAAACCGGCACATATATTGGCACCGGAGCCAAATGTTGCACCATGGAAACTCTTCAGGCTCCATTTAACAGTAGTGGAGACTCTGACATGATTTAGTTGATGCTAATGCTAGCAGTACTTGTACCACGTCTATCAATATGTTGCTTAATGAGAAACTCTGTCAATTTATTTCTTCACCAATGTCAGCAGGCCAACTTCCAGTACAAGAGTGTTCCTCTAAAGAAATTGATTGTGATTGTGATGAGAGGAGTGGGATATAAAGCAGACTTTCAGGTTCGGCATGCTGCCAAGTGTTGTTAGCCTTAGAAAACATTGATTCAGCTGTCCACACTTTCTTCCCCATTGATTAAAGTGCCTGTCCTTCATTAGTCATCAATATCATATAGATAAGGGTTGTGACAGCATTAATGACTCATCATTACCTTCTGCTTTGAGCCCTCTTTCACAGTGACCCAGTCCTCTCCGTTTGAGCTCAGGTCCAGCTTGTATGAGCGGACAAAGTAGTGCTTCTTGGTCTCTTTTGAGATCGCTCCCTGAGTCCCGATGGCTGTGACGAATCTGAGAAATCCCAGGTCCACCTGGGAACACAGTTAATGACATTGACAAGTCAATGGAAAACTTCAGACAAGATTAAAGGTGAGGTACCGCAGTGAGTACATCTGCAGCTGCATGGGGGAACTCGGAGCAGCTCAACTAATTTACAAAAACTTTTAAAATATCCACGTTTAGACAGATATAACACCTGAACACTACACAATGATGTATATATATTTAACAGCTAAAAGTGCATTAATAGCTGCACTATAACACAAGGGATGAACTGTGAGTTGGTCTCACAGGGCTGTGGGGTACATTAGGGACAAAAAAGTTGGGTATGCACTGGCCTGGAGGATAAAGAAGTGGATTTGTGATGGAAAATCCAGATGGACAGCAAATGAGAAAACCCACTTAAAGCAAATAAAAGCCTGAAGATGCAAAAGTTCTGTATTTTGAAGCCTGATTTAACCCGAGACTACTCAGGCATGAGGTTTACATTTGTTCTAAACAGATCTAAAAGTGTAAGTGCATCCAAAAGAAGCACATTTTTCTCTTTGGAGATTTCCTTTTGGACGTTACAAGCAAGATATAATTTGAAATTTAAAAATGCATCACTTAGTACCAACTTATACACAAAAAGCCAAAATATCATCTTACAAATGCAATACTGTCTAGTACCATGTTTCATTTGAAGCGTACGGGGAAACAAAGGCTCAGATCTCATTAATTATACTGTGATCTGCCCATAAGTAGACAGTGAAAAATCAGAGCAGGACGCTAGAGAGAGAGAGAGAGAGAGAGAGAGAGAGAGAGAGAGAGAGAGGGGCACACCACATAACAAAGACCTTCACAGGAACATTATGCAGTCTGTATACTTCACTACTAAACTGCTGACAAGTGTTGTAAGTAATGAGCGCTCTCCTCAATCCTTTTCTCTTCAAATAGCCTCTTAAACATGATGAGATGAGGTGCTGACAGATTAAACAGCTCTTAAAATCCTCTAAGTCATTTTGGTGTCTGGATTCACAATATGAGCTGCGTTACTCAGCACTGCAGGTATGGACTGGACTGGCTTTCCAACTCACATGTCTTAGGGTACTTTTCGCTTTGTTCTGCTTATTGACATTTGATTTTATTCATCTATGCTTGTATGTATACTGTGATTGGAAATTATTTAAGAACAACCCCTTGAGATGTACTGTCTCCTTTTCGAGAGGGTCCTCAACGACAACAATACAATATAAACACAATTCAACAGAGCGTTTAACAAAATGTAAATAACAACATGATGATTAAGCGATACTAAATGTGACGAGAATCAATCAAACAAACGAACAGAAAACAATAAATATCACGTAATAAACCAGATTTCCATGTGTTGTTTGATTGTAAAGCAGGTCTAGGATCTATATAAACACTGTGAAAGTATCAAAGCCTCAGTCCACAGAGAAATGCACACAGCCTATATTCAGAAACTGAGCCTTAAAACCAGCCGTCAGGACTTCTGTAACTTTGTGATGTCACAACAAAACAGTCACCTTTACCTGAACCCACCATCCAACCTTGCAGGATTCTGATTCTTAAAACCATAAATATATCTTCCTATGGATCAACACTTCAAATAAAACACAGAAAAAGTGTAAAATATGGGACCTTTAATGTCGTTCATGGCATTGAGTAATAAAGTTATAAAACATAATTATAGAGATGTAATTATTATGGACATGTACAACTGGTCTTATAATAAGAAGACGGGGTGAATATTAACAGGTAAATTATTGGAATCAGAGGACCTGACCTGACCTAGAGAGTCAGCAGGATGCCAGTATCTCTCTGCCTGAAAATACTTATAAGGTAAAGTTACCCAGATGCCTTTCCTTGATTTTGTTTTCACGGGAGCAAGTTCATCTACAATGTCAGTGAATTCAAAATAAAAACAGTCCCAAGCATCAAGAACATTTGGTATTAGTTGATACCTGCCCCAGTTAAGTGAAATTAATTACTAAATCATTAATTAATCGATTTATATTCATTTTCTCATTTCCTTATTCAAATTAATTTGGGTTGCAATTTGGGCAAGTTAATTTTCCAGTACACAACAGCCTGATCACTGAGGCAGTCAGATACAGCCCCTGCTGTTAAAAATCTATTTGGGTGTGAAACCATTATCAAGTCAAGCAGAGATTGACTGGTAGATGTAACACGAGTGGGCTCATAAATTAACTGGGTTAGGTTCAGGTTTTCAAAAAGGTTTTTTTCTTAACTAGAAGATTTATCAATCTACTTCTTACTGAAGTCACCTAATATAATAATTTCAATTCTGCAGGCATTAGAATTTATAGTAGAAATGATTCAGTTAATGGATTCAGCAGGTGCAGAGGGAGGGCTATAAATGTTTCCAGTTATACTCTTATTCTCATGCCACCTTTACAATATTACACTCAAAATGTAAAGGCTCAACATCAAGGACAGTTAACTCAGAAACCAGATTAAAGGACACACACGTGGCAACACTACACTCTGTATAAGACATTTAGGTAAATTTAATTTCATTGTTTGATATCCTAAGTTTCTGATAAAGTAATAACATTAGGTTTGTACTCTTCAACCCATACTGTCACGCAGGAACAAACAAAACACATCACAAATACACACACACACACACACACACACACACACACACAAACAAACAGAAGAATATACCCAAGATGAGTCTAGTGACCCTTGACCCCACAGGCCGAAAGACTATGGTGAATAAGCCAAAGTCACTTCTGCTTTGAGCTGTCTGTCTCAATGAGGAGAAAGCTAAAAAAAATAGATAAGCAATTAATAAACAAGAGGCTAATGCATTATATATGGAATTATAAAGGCTGCTGCAAATAAAACAGAAATGGAAAAGAAAAAGAAAAACCTGTGCATAAACAAAAAACAACCTATTAACAATAAACCATCCCAACAGTTGCAGCCTAAATAACAGAAATAAAGTAATTCCACAAGTTAATTCTGAAAGTCACCAACTATGTGTCAAAGAGTGTTGTCATGGTGATTTACTTGCGACATAATGTGATTTAAATCCTGAGTTTAATTCAAACCAGTTGAGTCAACGATACACTGAAGTTGAGCCTCAGGGTGCTGATCCAACAAGGACGTCCAGAGGAGTCTGTTTTCTGAGATACTGAAGAGCGTGTGTGACATCACACTCATTTAGTGCATAGGAGGCAGTCTGTGTGTGTGTGTGTGTGTGTGTGTGTGTGTGTGTGTGTGGGAACCAGCTCAGGACCAATTTTACGGTTGTCGACCTGCATCACTAATGACTAGTGTGTGACCTGTGGTGTGTGTGTGTGTGTGTGTGTGTGTGTCTGTGTTTGTAACCCTCTAGGTTAAGAGGTTGTGTTGGACCAATAGCAGACTTTATGAGACTAACTGTGAGCAAATAAGGACTAAAAATACTGTCTAACTGAACCATGGGTGAACTTTCCACTGGGGGTGGGGGAACACATCCCCCTCACTTTTTTAAAATCCAGTTTGTGACCCCTCACCACAGTCCACATGAGACGAAAGAGCAGATAAAGCAGCTGATATATAAAGCATTGATACACTAATTTCAGTCGCCTTCCTTTATTACTGTGTGTGAATGAGCTTGACAAGCAGCAATGAGTACTTGAGTACTTTCCCCCTGGGTTTTGACTCTCAGGCTGCCCTAATTTAAAGGTGAGGGCTGATAAAAGGACCTGCAAACTCTTTACACTGCTACTTTTTACACTTTTTATCATTAGTAAAGAGAGCATACTGATGACCAATTGAATCATTAACATTAATTGATTAATTGATATCTGACTGTTGGCAATATGAACAAGCATATTTTCCAAAATGTCAGAGGCTTGGGTGCAAATGTCGACACAGAACTAGCAATGGCTTATTTAAGCGATATCACACGAGAGGGCGTGATGTTGTACTGAAAATGCAATGCATAATTCAAATGTTATTTCTAGAAATATATTCATCTTTGCAAAGTTTGTTACAATCAAAAAAGATAGATAACAGCAGTTAATGTAGCGCTGATTAACGGTTAATAGAACACCTGTGAAGCGGAGCGATACAAGTAGTAAAAAGTCCCCATGCTGTTGTACACTATATCAGCATTCATGGAATGCCTCTTGTCCAATCAAATCACTTGGTTGGAGCTAACTGTTGTATAATAGGAGCTAGCTAATGTATTAGTTAGCACATACTAAGCAACTAAAGTTAACTGACAAAGTGCAACAATTAGCAAACTAACAGATTTAAAATGTCTTAAACATGTGGTCTATGGTCAAAGCACAAGAGTTATATATAGAACAATGATCAACTCTTAGCCAAAAACAAACAAACAAGCTGTGTTAAAGTTTCCATGTCACACATCTGGAAATTCAGTCAGTGTCCCTCTGCCATTAGCCGGACCTGTGCGACAACATTAACATGACAGGCTGTGCAGATGAGGGAAAAAGATGCACATAAACTGGGACAAACCAATGCTGCACAGTTTTGTGAGTACAGGTTTTAATACTATTAAACTATAAAATACTATTAAAATACTACCTCACGGGTAATCTCAGTAGATATCTGAATTTAGAATGAAGATCCTCAATGGAAACTAAATAGCTACACAGCTTTACTCCACCTCTTAGGTTGATGTTTTCCTACTGACAAATAAGGATTTTATAAAGTTATGTTTTGCTTTTATTCTGATAGCACAGCAAGACATGCAGCAAAAGGCCGCTGTGGTTAGGACTAAGCCTATGTGGCATGTGCTCTACCAGGTGAGTCACCGGGCTGCCTCCAAATGAGGATTTTTAAACTGTAAAAACTCTGCAGACCATGGCTGCTGTCTGCTAATACAAGGCAATAAGCTATCATGGCTTAAAATAGCCGACATTTGTCTGTGGCCAAGGGTAATTCCTCTCTTTGATTGTATGACTAAAATGAATGTCTTGTGTCCAATTGAGTTAAAATACCCAGGACAGTAAACAAACACAAACAGACTCAGATCTTGGGACACAGA